GAGAGAGCGATTCACAGCTTGTCACTTCTCACGCATGCGTCTTGGGACTGAATAAATACTTGTAAATAAAAGCATCAAAACCATATCCATAATCCTATGAAATCTTTGTTAAAGCAGAATCACCCGTGAAGATCCGGGGTAGACTAGGTCTTCAGCAACCCATGCCTGCCGTAAAAGGTGACTTTGCTTGTCGTAAGAGGCGACTAACGGGATCAGGTGGTCAGGCTCGAATGTCATCGTATCCCATTTGCGTGGATCGATGCTCATGATATCCATCACTGGACTGTCTGGTCCGGACTCGATTATTTACAGACCGCCGTCTTAGAGCTTGAATATTGCTGAGTGCGGCGTTAAACAACAAACAAAAAAAGAAAGAAAGAAACAAACAAAAGCAGAATCCAGTGTACGATTACGACTATCTATGATAATAATAATAATGTTTATGAATCACTGTAAAATAGTGATAATACCAGGTGAAACAAATGCTTATAGAATACTCTTAACGAAAGTAGGTGATTGGAAGAGATATTAGTTTCTAGGAACAGTTGTATGATAACAATGAACGAATTGGGACCACTTACAACCTATAGTGAAGTATGACGAAAGATGGGAAATTTCAAAGTTGACATTTTTGGATCAGTAGTGCGTAATACCGCCACGATTTGTCAAACATTCACTCACTCGACGAGGCATACTGCGTATGAGTCTCCCTATGGCGATTTAAGGGAGTCTGTCCGACTCCTCTTGCAGCGCCTAAGTTCAGCCAACGTGGTCGGCGGTCTTTGACGTTGACGCACACGTCCCCCTACCATGTCCCAGACGTGTTTAGTTGGGGAAAGGTCTGGACTCATTGCTGGGCATGGTATTCTATGGGTGTTGTGCTCCCGGAGGTGAGCATTGACGAATCGTGCACGGTAGTCTTGTCGTTGACCTGGAACGCCCTGAACGGCGTCGATCGTTAACATTTTGGGTGTGTTGGGACCTGTTCCATAGTCTGTTTATCACAGACTGTGAAACATTGAACGTATTGACCAGTGCACGCCGAGTTCTGCCAGTGAAAGTGTCAAAATCATGAATGACATCCTTCGCACGTCTGTGGCGCTACGGCGTGATGCACGTTCAGACAAAAGGGAGTGTTGTGGTGTTAACTTTTAGAGATATAAACCTTCATTCATTTCATTTTCACAACTATTTTGGTCTTTATCTAATTACGCCAAATGGAATCTGTTTTGGTTGATAATGAAGGTTGGTTATTCTTTTGCATTGACGCTTGATATTTGCATTGGGTGTTTGTCGTCCACGCTTATCTTTGTTTCTAATACTTGGTATTAAAATATATATTTCGTGATCCCTTACTTTCTTGGTGTATATGATGTAAAAAAAACATCAAATGCTGATGAATTTCCTTACATTTCTCCAATGTGAGGCGTTCTTAAAACTGAAATTTATTTAATGCCTATTAAATTCTTAAAATGTAATTGACCAGCGAATTTTCAGTTCAGGAGCAAGCCACAATCTCCCAGACCTTATCCCGTTGAATTTCATTTTTGAGCTGGAAGAGAACACCCTGACAAAGACCTTCATTTGTGGGGTTAATGTAATACATCGTTAACCCACACATGTAATGTCGTGCCGGCTTCTACGTGCATGTAGTGGCGCAGTATGCAACATTGTCTTTTCGTACTTTGGACAAGATCTTCTCAATATATTGTAATACCGTGCAGTAGATTAAAAAATCGGGATTTATAGGCAAATCAACGCTATTTTGCTTGTTTGTATATTCACTTCTTAACCTAGCTGAAGGAAAACATACCGTTATCGCTAGAGCCGTAATTTGTTTTTTATGTTGTTTACGGTTTATATAAAACACAATAGAGTGGTCGAAATATACATTAACATAGGATTTAGAATTATGTTGTTTTTAATTACATGTCTTAAAAGTCAAGATTGGTGGGTGCATTAAGTTTGTTTGCGCCAGTATCAGATCTAAATATGAGCTAACCCCTGAACAACTTCTTTGATAGGCATTTAGATGTTGGAGTACTAAGTAAGGATAAGAATTTATGGATGAACAACTTCTTTATTACAATTAAGAGCGACGTTTCGGTGCAGGTTCTAACACTTGCTTGATAACGGTGTTAGAATCTACACCAAAACGTCGCTCTTAATTGCAATAAAGAAGTTGTTCATCCATAAATTCTTATCCTTACTTAACCCCTGAACAATAGTGAAACTGTCGCTTTATGTTTGGACGGTCTTTATCTGGGGAATTTAGCTTGGATAAACAATCCAACACGTTTTAGAAAAAAACGCCTCATGAGAACATCTAGAGTCAACCGTCTTGACTCATTTGGAATGTCCAAAACTAAAACATTTTCGTTGAACTTCATTATTGATCTGATATATACACAATCCTATATCGTTGGAAATGACATGTAACTCTAACAGACAGACAAAACGGCGAAACACACATTCTTGGACACATGATACAAATTTACAGTTTGAAATTGTGTTGACGATGTATTCTAAATTGCCAGATTGCAATCTTAATACTTCTTGAATACCGCCGTCATGTCGCTGGAATATTGCTGAGTGCGGCGTTAAACAACAATCAAACAAACATGACAAACCTCTTGAATAACCAACCCAATGCATTGTCTCAAGATACTGAGCGTAGTTTAAATTCCTCGGTATAACTGTTAGCTCTGGAATAAATTTAGGAAACTTGGCTGAAACATTCAGTTAATATAACTGAAATGTTAGTTATTACTACATTAGCATAAGTTGTCGTTAATAAAAGCGGCCAAACCCTTTCCATATCCATAAAAAATCTCTGCTAAATGCCGAGTCGATTGTACGATTCTGACTATATGATGAGCATGTGTTTAGGAATCACTCTCAGATAGTGATGATACCAGCCGTTCGCGAAAATATTCTATGAATGTTGTGCTCCAGGAGATGAGCATTGACCTGGACGCCCTGAACGGGGTCGACGGGGTAAGACTTTAGATGTGTTGGTACCTGTTCCATAGTCTGTTTACCACAGACTGTGAAAAATTGAACGTATTGACCAGTGCACGCTGAGTTATGCCAGTGAAAGTGTCAAAATCATGAATGACATCCTTCGCAGGTCTGTGGCGCTACGGCGTGATGCACGTTCAAACAATAGGGAGTGTTCACACGAAAGCCGCTTTAGTGCTCTGAGGTAAAAAAGTAACCCTCATTCTTAGCTGAGTGCCCGAGGCCAAGGTTTAATCAACGTTCCATGCTAACGCCCCAGGCCCCCTGGATGTGTCAATGGTAATCGTCGCTTTGACCACAAGCTGTCTGATGCAATACAATGGAATGACGAGTACATTGGACTCGAATCACCATAACATGATTTCGACATTATATTACCTTTGAGGTTTCTACTTAGACGAATGTTTAGGGTGCGGATTATGGACATGAATCGGGGCCTCAGTTACTATTTTGTTTTCATCAAGCGCTGAATTTAGTTAACTTTTCCAAAAGTGGTTCGCTAGACATGCCTGTATGGCATCGATTATGTTTTTGTTTCTGGCGTTGGCTAAAGAAGCTGTGAAAATAAATACCTAATAGTCTCATTGATAAGCAATTCTCTCGCATTCAGTAAGATGTTCAATTAAGACGTCGCAATTCTATAACACTCACGTTTACTCCAAACAATTATGAAGCAAATGACAGACAAACAAACCTGGTTATATATACACACGCATCCAAAATGAGTTCTCTAAACATTATATAACAATTACGACAGGGTGAATGTTTAATGAAAATATTTAAGGAAACTGGCGTGAGAATGTAATTTATTAGTCGTCTTGGGGAACAAGACAATTAATGTATTGGGCTGTATGTCAATTAAAATGATTTGTTTATCATTGAACCACACAATATTGGATTCACCTTACTCATGGTTTACATGTACCGGCCATTTCATAATGAAATTTATTCCAATCAGCAATACAATATTCTTTGAAGGTTTAGTCTTTACTGGTCGTATTTACAAAATACAAGTTAAAAACAAGTCTTCAGAATTAACTGAAATCGTGTTATTGCGGACCAAGTAAGACTTTAAACCCTACTTTCTTGACGCTTCTTTGCAAATATACAGTGTACATTACGTCGAAACATTGTGTCATCAATCTGGAAGCATGTTGATCTGGACAATGTCATGAAGTGTCCGGATAAACGGGGCTTCGCTGTATGAACAGGGGTTAGATGCAGGTGTCCTATTACTACTAACTTAGTAGCGAAATATATACATAATTTGAATAAGACTTGTTACAAATACTGTACGTTGATACAACACTTTTGTGTATACAGGTAATGCACGTAAACCATTCACTTCACAAATTTGCATTTATAATTCTCATCACAAGAATATACTCATATAACAAAGCACAAAATATGCTGAAACATTCAGATAATATATTTTACGAGTATGATTTTAAATTCTTCACTTTCGGGCTAGATTTAGTTAACTACGTCACAAAAGGAATTCGAAACATGCCTCACAGTTGACACGAACAACTGACAGCCATAGAGAATGTTAATGATATAATTGGGATAATATTGCCAATTCATCAATCTCTTTCGTATTAATATTATATTACAGCTTAAAGATGAAATGATAACGTTGTGATAAAGACGTAATGAAGAAATGGCTACCTTACAGTGCCGACAGCATTATGCATACCGTTTCGTTTACTGCGTAAGTGACCATAGTTCACAATGGCAGACGCTACCTAACAATAACACCCTAAGGCCGATCCACAAAAGATGAAGACCTCGTATTTTGCAATCAGTTGTTATCGCACTCGTTGATTTGATACTTGATTGCGAGCAAGGCAACGCCATGTTTTAAGCTGCAATCAGATAAAGGATGATTGCATTCCTGAACGTTTGATCACACATGCACGGTCCAATAGACATGTTTTCATTGTTACGATGACAATAAAGCGGAGTGGCTGGGGTTGGTGACATGCATTAGGATTCGCGTGTTGACGTGCACACAGTTGCCTTACATAGGATTGTTCGTGACGAAGTCTTGTCTAGCTCTCTAAAGGTACGTCATGTCTATCAGTTGAATGCAAATATTTGATCTCTTTAACGATATGCTACAACAAATCATATTTAATAAACTAAGTTGTCGTGTCAAATAGCTCATATTTACATACATGTTAGTAATTGATATTTATATTACCCAGTATTTGCAGAGGGATGAAAGAGATCGTGTTAAAATTCATACACATATAGAGTATTATGTTGACTCATGGACGAGAATGAATGTTGCAATGGGCTTGTTAATTTGACCTTGTATATGCTGGATAATAATTTCGTCTCAGGGTTCACAAAAAAAGAAATGCATTGTTGACTGGTCCTGAAAAAGGTGATGTTCCTTCAAATTGTTTGGCTCTTTCTTTTCGAGATGAAAACTGTACGTATGTTTTGAATCAGTGACCCAGAAATAATAGTCGGTCCTTTTTATGTTTTTTTGTCAGTATAAATGTAAAACAGACTACGTCGTTAACTGCAGATTATATATGTTATATATGTTGACTATGCATGTGCTTCTGATAGGGCCATCGGCAGGGCAGGATACGCTCGCAATTTTCACGCACACCTGGTATCGTCACCAATTGATAGTGATTTAAAAACACATCGTACAAGGCAGAGATCTCTTTTAGCAGATAAGTCTTATGATTATGGAAATGGTTTTGTCGCTTTTATTTCTTTACTAATATCCGTAAACGCATATTTTGCATGGACCTTAACTAAAGTTATTTTAGTTTTCAGTTCCCGTTGCAACTTTGCAGGCAACTGATATTTGGAATATATTTTTTCATGGGAAATGCAGGGAAAAGGCTCTCAGCCCCGTTCCACAAAGCGATATCAGCGCTACGACTATCGAAAGCAAATGTTAAAGTATGGGAGTTACGATCGTCATAACTCTGAGGTCGCTTTGTTGAACGGGGTTCATAATAGACGTAGGTACCTATAGTCATCACTAATATACATTATTCTTCTACCCTCTAATCGTGAAGATCCGGGGTAGACTAGGTCTTCAGCAACCCGTGCTTGCCGGGAAAGGCGACTATGCTTGTCGTAAGAGGCGACTAACGGGATCGGGTGGTCAGGCGGGCTGACTTGGTTGATGCATGTCATCGATCCCAATTGCGTAGATCGATGCTATTGATATCAATCACTGGATTGTGTGGTCCAGACTGGATTATTTACAGACCGCCGTCATATAGCATGACTATTGCTGAGTGCGGCGTAAAACAACAAACCAACAAACCCTCTAATTATCTCTTTTAAGATCACGTAGGAATAGTATAAAGGCATTCCCTGTGAATTAGATCTTATTGATTAGAATTCAGGATAGTTCCATTATGCTGTACCTCATACATGTACTTGTGGTAAGAACCCGTGAAGATTCTCGGGTAGAATAGGTCTTCAGCAACCCGTGCTTGCCGTAAAAGGTGACTATGCTTGTCGTAAAAGGCGACTAACGGGATCGGGTGGTCAGGCTCGCTGATTTGGTTGATGCATGTCATCGATCCCAATTGCGTGGATCGATGCTCATGATATTAATCACTGGATTGTCTGGTCCAGACTCGATTATTTACAGACCGCCGTCATATAGCTGGAATATTGCTGAGTGCGGCGTTAAACAACAACCAACCAACCAACCAACTCCTTTTGATCACTGGTTTGTCAGACCCAGACTCGAGTATTTACAGACCGCCGTCATATAGCGGGAATACTGCCGAGTGCGGCGTTAAACAACAAACAAACAAACTTGTGGTAAGAGATGACTTGGCTGATACCGGAATATCGTACCCAGATAACGTGGAAAGTTGATCACTCCTTTTGTTCATTGGTTTGTCTGACCCAGATTTGTGTATCTACTGTGATGCTTAACAACATTAACCCAGTCCCCTTAATCCGCCCGAAAACAACAAATTTAAGTATTCATTCTTCTTGTCTCTGAAACTCCTTTTGGAAATTACGATTGGCATATAAAACAGAATATGTCGATATAGAAAAGATGCAGCGAAAATCCAAAACACTTTAATAATACATAAACTCCTTCTTGGAGATATATGGACTTGAAACGTAATTTCTGTTATTTCTTTCTGGTCCAGATCTGCTTATGTAAACGCCCCTGTGTTCTAGCTGAAGTATTGACTGACTGCGTAGTTTAACATTATACACTCACTCAAATGTGTCTTGGGGTGATGCTATTTTTTAATTTGACTTTCAGGGACAACTACGACATATAACGATGGGTGTTCTGGATATTTCTCTCTTTGCCCTTGTCCTCCTCGTCTGCCCTGTGTTCCCCACCACGTCCCCTGACCTGGCGTCGATGTCCCTACAGATTCAGCAACTACAGGCCACAGTGTCCGTCTTGAGCTCAGAGCTAGCCAACGTGACGGGCGAGTTGTCGAGGCACGAGTCAGAGGTCAGAAAATACACATCCTACGTGGAGAACATACAACGAGTGGTTGCCTTTGGAAGTCGCCATGGTCAGTTTGATATAGGAGGTAAAGTTGTTTTGCTCTTTCATTTTTCTGTTTTGTTGATAGAGTGAGTGAGTGAGTATGGTTTTACGCCGCTTTTAGCAATATTCCAGGAATATCACGGCGGGGGACACCAGAAATGGGCTTCACACATTGTACCCATGTCGGGAATCGAACCCGGGTCTTCGGCGTGACGAGCGAACGCTTTAACCACGAGGCTACCCGACCGCCCTTTGTTGATAGAAATTAATACACGAGTGTATGTCAGGTATCATTACGATAAATGGTATATAGCAGCACGAATGCAGCAATCTGTTTCTTACACACTCTAAAATTTTATCATTTTAGAATCGATGCTTATTTTGTCTGTTCTCATGATCGTAGTGGCACATTTATACATAACAACGGTCATGAGTGACGTCATCCGGCTCACTGCTTATTACTCATACCTACATGTAGTGTGACCCTCCACCAAACGTTTCAGTTATATCTGCAGTTGATCAAGACAAATGGTGATAATGCAAACTAGAAAATATCAAAGAACATTTATAAAACACTCTAAAACCACACAGTTTCCACACATATCAATGAATTACAATGTCGGTCATTGTCTGATCTTAGACCATCACAAGGAGTAGCCAATCACGGACCTGGAACTCGATCTAGCATAATTATATATTCACCTCAAATTGGTTTCTTAGCCATAGATGTCTGAGAAAAATCGATAAACAAACGTCCTGACAATCGAAACCAGATATAACCAGTTGCAGAGGACGCATATCAGTTCATACTTTCCAACGTCCTTTATTCACCCTACAGGACAGTTAACGTATCCATGTGGATTAGGTCCGAGTTCGTCATAAGCGACGATTCGTGATATTTGAATTCGTTTCATGAGTTGTCTGCACATATTTTCCCCAAGGGTAGAAAGATCGAGTGTAATATTTTCACATGTGCTTTGCACATATTTTTCCCAAGGGTAGAAAGATCGAGTGTAATATTTTCACATGTGCTTTGCACATATTTTCCCCAAGGGTAGAAAGATCGAGTGTAATATTTTCACATGTGCTTTGCACATATTTTTCCCAAGGGTAGAAAGAGCGAATGTTATATTTTCACATGTGCTTATTACCGATTCTTCAAATTGATTGGATAGTTAAAGCGATAATACGTAACATGCATAATTGTTGTGAATATTATATGACATCATCCATTCTTCACGAAACAAATTGATAACAATGTCAACTGCAATAGACTCACTTCAGTGACTTTATCTGTAGGCTTGACTTTTCAGTTCTTACAATTTTCTTCATTTTCTTTCTGAAAATGGCATAAAATTGCTCGCAGCTCGCTGGATATCATCTGACTAGCAACAGTTTCCATGCACATCACAATATATGATTATTCTTATAACAAGGATTCAGAATGAACAAACATGTTTTCTTACCTAAGGAGGGTATCCCGCGGAGTTGTCATGTAAAACATTTTACAATGAGGCCAGCAAACTGAAATCTGATGTAATATCATGATGTAATTTGATGTAACATATTTCATGTAATATCAATTGTATCTGAGCACCTTGCTGATAGAAGCTTTGTGAAATAAGTGCCCATATTATATAACACATAACAGGTTTTTTCCCGGCCTGTCCTCATTTCGCCTACACCCTTATCAAAACAAATTTACAGCTGACTGCACATAAGTCAAGTGCTGTGTTACCTCTAAAATAATGAACTGACCCAAAAGAAGGTTAAACAGACAAGACAATCCACCCCTACATACTTTCCATTCATATTGTTTGACATATTGTTTGTGAGTCAACGTGACCCTCACATGTTAAGAGGCTAGGGGAATCCTGACATGGACACCTTACCTGCACTGATTTCAGCAATATAGAAGTGGTAGCATTTTATATCATATACAAACAGTAGCAATGCTATATACATATATATGTAAGGGGCACAGGTGCCCCAGTCGTCTGAGGCGCCGTAATTCGTTGTGCAGAGTTCTCTCACTACGCCTTGCCAGGTATCCATATCTTGACTTCGAATTCCGGATTCGCCCTGATTATGCCAACTTAAACACTTACCTTTAACATGTAGAAACAAGTCGTGGGAAGCCATAAACTTATGATCAGAAACTGCAATGCATTGCCAAAAGGCAACAAAATTCGTGGGCGGCATGGTCACGTGGGAAAACATGTACTCGACCTGTTTATCGTGAGTGTTACCAGTAGCAGACGAATCTTTGCTGGCGTCAGGGGGGAGAGGAAGAAGCCTTCGTGAAAATTATGCGCATCAATACGTTTGTTTATTGTGTACACGTGTTAATTTGCTGGGTGTCCGGGTGCTGCCACTGTCCGAGTACTGCCCCACCCGCTCTATATGTGAAAAGGGTGAGGCGGTGAGTGGTAATTTGCGTCATAGTAAACAATATTCTAGCTTTGTTATGGCGGCCTGGAAATAATCGAGTCGAGGTATGCTGACACAGTTAGCCACGTCATACTGATTCCCGCTGATCTTCATTCGTTCGTTCTTCGATAAGCATGTTTACGATAGTGAGAGCCTCCTCTTCCCCGAAAATTCCCACTTTTAACAAAAAATCCAAAGAACAAGTTTGAATATGTCAGTATATTGGTGTCATCTAACACTTGCCCCCGTGGGGTTTCCGGGTTAGAATAGGTCCCTAGCAATCTGTGCCGGTCGTAAGAGGCGGGTGGTCAGGCCCGGTCCCCCGACGCCGTTGGTCGCTGCTCATAATGTGTTCAGTCTCTATTATCTACAGGTGGCCCTCATATAGCGGGAATATTGCTGAGTGTGGCGTTAAACAACAAACAAACATAAAGAGTGTCTAGGCTCCTACAAATTGGCAGTTCTTGCAATTTTGATTAAAGTTTTTTCCAACACCGAATTGTTTTCTGCTAAAACACATTTGTTATGTAGATTAACCTGACAGTTAATGATTATCCTAACAACATAGATACAATATCACAGTTCCACACAAGGCGCTAATTACAAAAAAACCAAGAACCAAACAAAATCCAAACATCATTCACGTGCTAAAGCTGACTCCTCTCCAATTCAGCCTCCGTGGGTTTCCAAGCAGAGCTAGAGAAAGACCCTGCACCAGTGAGAGACCGTGAGGTTCTCGCCTTCTCTGGTGTGCCCCAAAACAGGGGCAACTGCTACAACTCCACTACTGGTATTTTTATTGCTCCTGTTGGGGGCACATACATGTTCTGGTGCAACATCATCAACTTCGACCGACATAACTCCCTCGCCATCTACATATACCGTGACGGCATACCTCTGAGCTACACCGTTGCCCCGCCTGATGTGTACCAAGGAGCTGCAACCGTTTCGACGTTTACTCATCTGAAAACAGGAAGCAGAGTGTGGTTCGTGAAGCACAAAGGATCTGAGTCGCTGCAAGGTGCTGGTTGGTCCAGTTTTGGAGGAACTCTGATCAGAGCCGGTGTATAGTGGAGAACTGTATAACTTATATACTGACTGGTAGTATGGAAGCATTGGTTGTGTGCACGTGACGGATGGATGCATGAAAGAAATACTGTTATCAGGGTAAACATGTTTTTTGATGGTGTTTGTTTGTCCGCATTTTAAGAAAAATATACTCAAGAACTTATATTAATATCACCTTGACGTGTCATTTGAATTGTTATTATTGTTAATGGATTTTTAGAACTTCACAATTATGTTACATGATTTTATCTTGAATGTTCGTAGTCTCGTGATTTGGTATTTAGACAACAATGTGTCACATGGCCAATGATAATAATCAGTAAGGTCAGTTCTTCGTGTGACGTTTTGGAAAGAAGCGGTTCCCACTATTCTATTCTTGATGTACATAATTACTTGTTTGCCTGTGTGACCTGGGATACCGTTTCATTCATCGGAATCCAACATTCACTTGTCACTCATAACGTTATAATTATTTAATTTGAAGTTTACACACTATACGGCTTTTCCATTGGACGAGAAATCCGTCACATGACCGCTAAATTGACGCTCATAAAGGTATGAACGACACAATGTTGACGCAAGCTCCGACGTTCATACAGTTTGGTCCTCACTCTATGAAGCTTCATACTCCAATGAACTAACACAAAGTGAAAGTCAATTCTTATATGACACGCAGAAGGGATTGTCTTTTGTTATTGTTTTTCTAATTAAAATAATAATTTGTTTATGATGACTCTTTGTTTGTGAATCACGAAAAACATATCACACCATAGCAATACATCAAACAACAGGTCTAATGTACCAACCATTCCATGTAATGTTTTGAAAACAAAAATTTGTTCCATAAACTACTGGAAATAGGTAATTTTGTCTAAGGTTTTTTCTGAAACAATTGTGTCTGCTGGACTACGATAATAAGAGAGATAGTGTGGCTTGCTTCCAATGTGCACTAGACTCCATTGTGACTCATCAATACATCTCAGTGGCACTGTGCCGCCGTCATATAGCTGGAATATTGCTGAGTGTGGCGTTAAACAACAACAAACAAACAAACAAACAAACAAACAGTGGCACTGTGAAGACTATGGGAGTGCTCACTGACTGACGAGTGGATAGAGCGAAGAAGTCGGTTGTTCAATCCCCGGCCGCGTCATAGCGTAAGACGTTAACATGTTGGTACTTGTTGTTACCCTGGCTCTCGGTATAAAGGCGATGCGCCTGTTCGCATACCAACACGTAAGCACGTTGCTATATATGTTCAATAGTATTGAACGCGACGTTAATCCCCATGATCTAGTTATCAACAGAAGAAGCAAACCCATGTCGCCAATCCTGACACTTTACCTCTCCCAGACAAGGTTCTATATATGAAACTGAGCATCATCTACATATGTACTAACAGCTCACTTCCATCATACCTAGCTAACCTGTTGAGAGAATATGTTCCACACAGGCAACGGCACAATTGCATAAGATAGTAATCTGTTAACTGATATCAGTACCCGATTTGCACATCTTTATTAGAACCTCCCGGATGTCTCCCCCGTTGTCACGTTGATCGTGCCATTGTGACGTCATGTAGTAAATGTATGATTATGTTAATCTACATGATGAAAACAGTTGGATGGAAATTTGGCAATCTCTCTCCCCCTCCCCCCCCCCCTCTCTCTCTCTCTCTCTCTCAGTGCTTCCCACGAACCATGCAACGCCTCTTCCGTTCAAATGTTTACCCCATGGAAGCGAGAGATAGACGATGATCTTGACGGAATCAGTCACGGGCCGTAACTGTCGTTCAGAATACCCCGTGTTAACGTTTTCGAGGTTGCATGATTAGAAAACACATTCCGACTGTCACTTTTATGATTTGGTTAGCGACGCTTTGATTGGTCGGATGAAAGGTCGTTCTGACGTGACCCGTAACGGGATGTCCTCAGATCTTTGTTTAGCGAAAGCGAGAACTAAGATCTGATTTTAATGAGATTGTTCATTTTTGAAACAAATGGTGATACGAATTATAGCATCCGACTCGTTTTCTTGGGTACCGTTAATCAAAGGTCAATCAAAACCGATCCTTGTTTTCTGGCAAATGTTCCATTCTATTCAAATAAAGTACAAGTCCCCTCTCTGTCTTAAAGCACAGCCACATATTTGAGTTCCACGAATAACATACACGATTATTACAGTGAACAGTTCGTCATTTTACACTCAAACCCACAAGTTCAGGTGTCTGTAAATCTAGCGGTACATGCATCTATTGCATCAGTGTTATACGTATGGATACATAATAGCCTAACATTGTCTTACACGTGCCCAACATGACGAACGCCAATTGGATCAGAGCATTCAGCGTTCTTCTAATGATAAAATGATGGGTTGTTCAATGACTTAAATTGCCGCATTTCGCTGTGCAGAGATGGGTTCCTTAGTTTTGACGGAATAATGACCCGTTGTCATGGGTTTCCCAACGTCTCCTCTTTGAATCAGAATTTAAATACTTGAAGTACAGACGACACTGTATATATAGATTAGCGAATATAAACTTCAACGCCAGAGAATAACCACTCTCGATTATCCGGCGAAACAGATTCCATTGGGTGTAAAAGGCAAAATAGAGGGGAAAATTATATGAATGGATACCTGAAAATCCGTGATGACACCAGACATTCGCGAAAAAATCACCTACTTCGAAAAAAATTACTTACCCCCCCAGGATAATGTAGATCGGAATCGGTAGGAAAATGCTTAGAGTTTAAAGACGTTTGCATGTTAGATGAAGTGTCGCAATATTGGAGCGGCGTCACGAGTGCCTTGATTCTGTTAAGAATATAACACAAACTATAACTTAAACAGTAACTTGCTACCTGTTATGAATTAATCAAACAAACGCGGTAATACTCATTGTTTATCATATAATGGGTAGGTTTCTCGGCAGGACAAAGCCAACGGATAAAAACGATATCTGTTGTGGTCATATGCGGATAGAGATGCAAATATCAAAGGTCAAGCAGGGACTACATTCACCGTTTATAAACAAACATGGGGTCGCCTCCGTCATTCGGCGATCGAGTCTTAATTAACCATCGGGAATCTGGATAAACTACAGGGATAATTGCTATCATTATCAAAAGAACAGTCTAATACCCTGAAAACCAGTGTCTTACTGTGACGTAGCTAAGGCATTTTATAAGTTTTGGCAACTTTGGAGATATAAATTTCGAAACAATTTTGCGAGCCAAGCGGGATCAGTAGCCATATCCGTGCTTGTAGACCTCGGCGGCTTGAAACCTTCTCCACAAATTGAAATAGTTGGATTTGGCCAAAATATGTTTGAATTGTTACCTTGTTTCGTTTTGTCGCTGTGTGTATATCTGACTACACTTCTTAACGTTATGACAGGACAGACCGACTGTCAACAACGTCTGACCGTGGCCGTGACGTCTCATAGACTAGAGTTAGAGTAGCTTCTCTTTGACAAAGGCAGTTACTCTAGCGGACAGACCGATGGATTGCCGCGATTAAAAACAACTGTTGTTTTGCGTATATGTTGCTTCGCCACTGTATAAGAAAGAGATTTCAGTCTGAACTATATTGGCTACTGTCACTGTCCGACTGACACATCACTTACCCTGTGACGTAATAAATATTAATGCGCACATTCCAGGAAAACTCGAAATGTTTTGGTAATGTTTGTGAGAGAGGGAAAGCGATTTTGAAGCACAGAATTAAAGAATGACATTATATGATAAAGAGGTTATCACGCTTGTGTGTTTGGGGATGGTAAATATCCTGTATTAGGAATAAACACTATGTATTTAGCTCGCCAAGGCACGCTAAATACAATGTTTATTCCTAATGCAGGATATTTACCATCTCCAAACACACTCGCGTGATAACCTCTATTGATTTATAGGTAAACCAATAGTGGAATATTCTATTAAACCACTAAAGCAATCAGATGTGAAACAATCCAGTAGAAGATACCACCCAAGTTTGCAGATAACGATTTATTCTGATGCATGACAAGAAACCTGTTCGTAAAGCTGTAAACTTTTCGTTTACTGTGTACACCACCCATAAAGTCTTTTGTTCGCATTCTGAGTAACATTGATTGTGTTTGTAACGCTAACAAGATCAGGTGGTCATGCACGCTGACTTGGTTGACGCATGTCATAGTTACCAAATTGGGTAGATGGATGCTCATGATGTCAATCACTGGATTGACTGATATTGCTGACGTGTCCTACATCATAATACATGAGTCTTATGAGTTAACGTCGCTTTTATCAAAATTCCCGCAATATCGCGACATACACCAGAAACGGGCATACAAATTGTATCAGTGTGGTGAATCGGTAGATATGGTTTCCCTGAAGAAACCCATCAGGGGAGAGAAAAGGCCTCGACAAACTCTTTCCGCAATGTCAATACATGTTTAAAGACGTGGGGAGGTATGACCACAGTGGATCAAAATTGGCCTGGGATGAGATAGAACTATTCTCGTTTGAGCTAAGAGCGGGAAGGATCTGGCATTGGTTGAACCTTCCCTACCTCAATTCGAATTAAGGGAAAAGTCTGGCCAGGGGTGGGGAAGAACTGGCCAGGGGGATGTTTCTGCCTGTTTCATCGAACCTTCAGCATGTCGAGCGAACGCTTTACCCACTTGGCTACCCCACTGCCCCATATCGTATGTATAAGGACCCCAATTAAAAATGAGGTTCTCTTCATACGGATGGGCTTGTTGAGTAAAAACAAACAAATAAAAGATTGTAAATGTATGCTGTTTCCGGTCAGTGTGACACGGTATTGTGGTGTAACTGGTTGATTGTGAGTCAGTGGGTGGGTAACCGTGATCATAGAAGTGGCTCAACCCCACATTGGTGAGAGCGTCCACTTGATACCGGTTCGATTCCTCATCAGAAAAGAAAATATTAATCATGTAATGATTAGGTTTTATCGCACACATGGGTTGTAGATGATAGATGCACTATCAGTACATGCCGACATTAAATAAAGGAATAACGACCATTTGAAACGAAATCAATTCAGATTCAGATACATGCAAACATGTATTCTGACATAGTTAATACATAAAACATCACCGCGAGAGAATAACCAGTCTCGCTTATTTGACCAAACACTTTCCATTGGGCGTAAGGGGGCTCGGGTGACCCAGTCGTCTAAGGCACCGCGATTCGTTGTGAAGATTTGCGTCCTTTGGACACGCCATAAACCTATGATTGTGGGTTCGAATCCCCGTTCGCCCCGATTACGTTTCTAGGTTTGTCAGCACCATACCCGTGCTCATGGGTTTCACCGAAGTGTTAAACGTCTGCGACCTGCATCACTTCGGGCTTTCCTCCCACATTAAGCTGACAAGCCGTGATACAACTGGAATACTGTTAAAGCGGCGTTAAACCCAACTCACTCACTCACTCCCATTGGGCGTAAGATGCATAATAGAGGTGGATGTTATATGAATAACTTATTTAAGTGTTTTTTTTATAGGAGTTCTATCCATTTGATAGGGGTATGGGTGACTTAGTCAATCAAGACGCCGCATTTCGCTGTGCAGGGGGTGTCCCTTCGAATCTATGTTCGAGGGTAACAATCCCGGTTCGCCCCAATTATGAATTCTAAATTTGTCAGCACGACACCCGTGCTCGTGGGTTCGCCAAAGTGGTATACGCCTGAATCAAGCATCATTTCGGGTTTTCCTTTTTCCTCCCG